GCCGTTAATCGCTGTAGTTTGTCGCTGCCCGTGTGTCGAGCCCTTTAGTAAGCCTCTCTGTTTTGAAAGACTGGAAATTGTTCCAATCAAATAAGGATAATTAAAAAAATTAATGGACCAAGGTGATCAGAACAAGTGTCAGTACCGCTATGTGGCTACAACTAAGGAAAATTGAATTGCTCCATACATGTTACAGGGCTAACTCAATCCATACATGTTACAGGGCTAACTCAATCCATACATGTTACAGGGCTAACTCAGGGCTAACTCAATCCTTCTCACCAAAAATGTGTTCTGCTCTGCTAGGTCTACATGCCTTCACAAAAGAAAAGTGAAAGGCATGAAGCTCCTTCAGAACAATGAGACTTACCAAGAAGCATTTGTTTGGAGACAAATAGACAAAAACATGATTCACTCTTCTGTGTGAGAATTTTACTTGTGCTCTGTATGGTATACTATTAGACATAAAGCTGTATTAAATTGATACATTAATTTATATAATTTTACATTAATTCTTCTTTAGAATTGGTTGAAGTTCAAGCTAATCAAAGAATAACTGTGAAAGGCTTTCAGTTTTAACAAACTTGTTTCTGAATGTTCACCAATGGTCTAATGTGTTACTTTTAACTCCTGGCTGGTAACATGGTCTGTTGCATAATTAATCAACAAAAGTACATGTAAATGAGATACCATGACAATATCTATCATTTAACACCAGATTTATGACATTTTATTCTGACGTGGTAAATCTACATGTGTTTCACATCCTGGAAATTCTGAACTGTGCACACAATGAGTAGGGCTGTGGTCAAAAACGGGTCCCTGTGGAGTAGTACCTACAACTTTTATTTTGTTAACAGACTTTTTTCTGAATAAGTGGATCCTTCGGCGCATGAGAAGGCTATAAGTAAGTTGAATATTTAGGATATATCTGGTAAACTCAGATAAAAGATGAAAATTTTCATCTTCTGTTGGTGTTGGGACAATTTGACCCTCTGATGACATCATCAAGCGAACATTTGTTTAATGAAAAGTCATTTAAATCAAAGAGCTAATCAATATGAATCAGATGATACCTTGTTTTTAAAATGTGGTTGGTTTACAGCGAAGTTATTGGCAGTTAGGTTCCCTGTATCCCTAATTTTGATGGTCACAATGGAAAACAGGTGTGTTCACAAAGTGGTCTCTGGGGGGCAGTGAGACCCAACTTTTTTTCTGTTAACTTGCTTTTGTTGAAAGAGTGGACCCTAGTAGGGTACATGAAAACACCTGAGAAGTTCAGTAGTGTGTGTGTGTGTGGGGGGGGGGCAAGGTGAGCCACCCTAAGCCCATGGACTATTAACTAAACAAGAAGAAGAAGAAGCTAACATTAGCTTACCGTTCTGTCGTCCTGCCCTCTCGTCTTCAGCTTCATACTGCTGGACAGTCCAGTTCAGTCTTTGGTGCTTTTCCTTCCAGTTTGATTTAATCCATTATGGTTTTGTAAATAAAAGTAAATAAGATGTATTTAATACAATGATCCCGCCCACACAGACAAATTTTACTTCTCATTTTTAAAAAGTGAAGTTTTGAAAAGATCAACTTTAGAGACTAAATGATCCCARTCTGCCAGCAGGAGTCAAATAATCCTGTCTGTTCATGAGTCACTTATCTGCTGCTGGTGAATATGAGTGTCAGTGTTGGYAACTTAATGTTGTGTTTTTGTTCAGGACAGAACAAACAACTTATTCAAGCAGGTTTATGAACAGAAGAGTCTGAAGGGCCGAGCCAACGACGCCATCGCTTCAGCCTGTCTCTACATCGCCTGCAGACAGGAAGGAGTTCCCCGAACCTTCAAAGGTAGAGCCTCTGTCCACCTGCATCATCCTGTCACCACACCTCAGTCTGACACATCTGCACCTTTAGTTTTCACATTCCTCTAGTGTATTTCTTCAGTCATAGATTTAAATGAAACGAAACATTTTTCACATTAACTACAGAGAAACACAACAGACAGGATAGAAAACAGTAAAGTATCACGTTGGTACAGAACTGTGCTGCTGATGTAGAACATTTAGATTTTTCTTAGCAGTATTCTGTTAAAAAACACACTTTTATTAACACAACATAAGGCAGGTTTTTATCCTTATTGTTTATTTTTAAGGTTTTTTCTTAAAAGTTTAAATTTATTTCTGTACAGCACAATGTAAGTTTGATTAGATTGGATCCTTCAAAGAATCGACCTAAAACTATGAACAGGTTTATTCTGWAGGAAACATCCAGCTGTTCTGTTCTGTGAGTCTCATATTTTACTGTTTTAACTTTAAATAAAAGGCAGAGAATCACTTTACAATAAGGCTTCAGAGTTTTTAAACACTATTTAAAGCTTTTTAATTTGTTATTTTGGTTAAATCTAAGTTGTTGCTCAGTTGCTTTATGTGCAAACCTTGTAAAACAGCAGATAGTGCTGACATGCAGGTAAGATACTGACACATGTTTGATATTTAAAATCTAAATGAAGAATCCAGGAAAACAGTTTAAATGTTGGTTCAATATTCAACAAGAAACAAGTAAATATTCTTTTTAATTAAAACACTACCTGCTTATTCATAGTTTCAGTGTTAGCAGCTGTATTAATAACTATAATTAACACTTGAGTACKACACCTGTGCTTTTATTTTAATAAACTAATAATAAAAGTTTTGTCTCAGTAATGTTTACTCAGGTGTTAAACCAACATTAGACGCATGTTCAGTCAGAGCAGCTCACACCTGAAATCTGTTTAGAATAGTTTTTTTATTTCACCACAAACAAACATTTTACCAAAAATCACTTTAACCCTGTTATAAACCTGGTTTATTACACATGTTTTGGTATGAAAAGATTTAAAATAATCAGCAGAGAAATTTAAAATCAAAGTTTGTAATTTCAAAACGGAGATCTGAACGTCTGTAGCAGGTGAATGATCAGAGCCTGTACAGAATGACTGAAACATGTGAGGAGGTTTCTGATCGCTGCTACTTTTAGCTGAAAGTCTCACACTGTTTCTTCATCCCTCCTCCAGAGATCTGTGCCGTCTCCAGGATCTCCAAGAAGGAGATCGGCCGCTGCTTCAAGCTGATCCTGAAGGCGCTGGAGACCAGCGTGGACCTGATCACGACGGGCGACTTCATGTCCCGCTTCTGCTCCAACCTGGGCCTACCCAAACAGGTGCAGATGGCTGCCACCTTCATCGCCAGGAAGGCCGTGGAGCTGGACCTGGTGCCCGGCAGGAGCCCCATCTCTGTGGCTGCAGCAGCCATCTACATGGCCTCCCAGGCCTCGGCAGAGAAGAAGACCCAGAAAGGTGAGGAGGGCCTCCAAAGTGTTCCTGGAGCTGTGCAGGGTTTCCAGATCTCGTGACAAAAACAAGCAGCCAGCTCTATGAAAACAAGCCCAGAATAATCCCACCTGGCCCCGTCCGTGTAATGTATTTTTAAACTTTTAGT